TTGATCTGAATTAGATAATGCAAAAAAGCAAATACCAGAGCCAACAATAGAACAATAAGTGCCTATTCCCTTTCATGATATAAAATATTCATCTGGAGATTAGTAAAGCTATGCAAACAACGTATACCTTCCATTCCTTTTATATCCTTTGATTGTACTGTGAAAGGCAATTCTGGAAAATGGAATTTTCCTGTCAGATCTGGAAAATTCAGCTTCCTTTTGTTCCCACTTGCCATTTGGTCACTTTGACCTGTTCGCTCATTAATATACCCCTCTCATTTGGCTCTAAACAAACAACAAACAAACAAGAGTTCATTTGAAGAAATGTGTGTAACTATTTGTAGAATGACAAACCTAGAATTGCCAGCCATTTGGATGGCATAAGATAGGCATAACAACTATTTTAATACTTAAGAAGTACAATGGAATACCATTAAACATACCAACAGATCAAACTCCAATAAAAGTTTCAGAAAGCAAACCTTTTTTAGTATATTTAATTTTCTTAAAATAATAGTCTTGACCATAAGAACCACATCTTATTATAATAAAATAAACTTATAATAAACTATAATACACTATACTCTGACTTTAATAATAATAAAACTTAATAATACTTAATACTGGCCGGTGGTGCTCACGCCTGTATCCTAGCTCTCTGGGGGCCAAGGCAGGCGAATTGCTCGAGGTCAGAAGTTCGAACCAGCTGAGCAAGAGCGAGCCCTGTCTCTACTATAAATAGAAAGAAATTATTGACAACTAATATATATAGAAAAATGAGCCGGGCATGGTGGCATATGCCTGTAGTCCCAGCTACTTGGGAGGCTGAGGCAGTAGGATTGCTTTGAGCCAGAAGTTTGAGGTTGCTGTAGCTAGGCTGATGCCATGGCACCACTCTAGCCTAGGCAACAAAGCGAGACTCTGTCTCAAAAAAAAAAAATAATAATAATAATAAATAATGCTTAATAATAATAAAACTTAATAATAATCACTATATTCTGACTTGAACAAATTGCTTCAGTCATTTTCTATTTTTTTTGTACTATTTACAAAACTGATTACTCTAGGACACTGGCAAAACAGCAAGAGAAAAAAATCTTCGTTTACCCAGCATTGGAAACCTTTATGTTACCTATTTTTGTTCATTTGACAATGAATCATAAAAACCTTTCTGGTAATGATCACTCTTCACAGTGTTAAATGTGTATATGCCTGCTGTATGAATGTAGGCATGTACTCTAATCATCATCGTGCAGTTTTGGATACGGGTTTGGGCATTTTCAATTTTATTATCATAGTAACATTGTAAAAAAGGGGATGATGTACATCTGAGAATTTTTCCAAAAGAGAAGTTGGTTATTTGATCCGTGTTTTTTATTGTTATGTTATTGTTATTTTTTGAAGACTAGATCCCTTTGTTCCCAGCGCTAGAGTGAGTGCCGGTGGGCGGGAGCCAGCACGGACCTCAGACGCTGGGCCGCACACGTACGCCCCCTGCCCAGTCTGGATACAGCATGCGCCACAGCCCGGCATTGTTATATATTCTTTAGTGGTGAATTATTATGTCATTTTGGTAGAACTGGGTCTCGCGCAGGCTGGTTTTGAACTCCTGACCTTGAGCAATCCGCCCGCCTCGGCCTCCCAAGTGCTAGGATTACAGGCTGAGCCACCATGCCGGCTGATGAGAAAACTTGCTTTTAATCCATAAAGATACTAAAACATTTTTTGGAAGTGAAAAACCAGAAATTCTTGTGACTTTTTAAGGTGAAAATCTTAAGTTACTCTGCCCAATTAATATATTAAATACACAAATTAAGATATGGAAAATTGATTATAATTGTGAAACCACTAAGAAAATGATGGCCTACTTTCATCTTAGGAAGAAACAAAAGAAACTACAAGCACAACTTTAAAGGGTTTCAGCCCCAAAGACAGTGAAAAGGGAAAGGGAAGCAATGTTAAAAGAGGCCATATGTTAATGACTAGCTTCTTGCCTTACTTGAGTGGGAGCTGTATCCTCTTGCTTGCTATTATACATAATTTGTCCGATGGATTGTGAAGTACGTCTCTTCTTTGCTCTTTCAGTTAACCTATTATTTAAAAACAAATAAGAAGTTATTAGAACTTTCCAGAAATGCCTTTGCTTTAGCTTCAAAAATGAACAAATTATACCATGGATGTCTATTGTTCAAACATTGAATGCCAAAATGAAATTGTCAGTCCTTAAGTACCAATTGCTCTAAGGAGAGAGGTATTAATAATAGGGCAGAAAAAAACTAATGCATGGCTAACATCAGTGGTGATACCATCTTGTGGGGTTACTCCTGCTGGTCTAGTTGCTCCCTCTTATCTGTTCTGAACTTGGATCTCCTAACTATTGGGTTTTCAATTTATGAGCTTGCTATCCAAGACTGACTGACTCACAACCATGCTTACTGGGACCATGGTTTTGGGGTCATCTAAAGAACAACTGGGCTCGGCCGGGCGCGGTGGCTCACGCCTGTAATCCTAGCTCTCTGGGAGGCCGAGGCAGGCGGATTGTTTGAGCTCAGGAGTTCGAAACCAACCTGAGCAAGAGCAAGACCCCGTCTCTACTATAAATAGAAAGAAATTAATTGCCCAACTAATATATATAGAAAAAATTAGCTGGGCATGGTGGCGCATGCCTGTAGTCCCAGCTACCTGGGAGGCTGAGGCAGGAAGATGGCTTGAGCCCAGGATTTTGAGGTTGCTGTGAGCTGGGCTGATGCCACAGCACTCTAGCCTGGTCAAGAGAGTGAAACTCTATCTCAAAAAAAAAAAAAAAAATCTACCATTTGAAGGTGTCTTAACCTCTCTTTAAAATTATCTCCTTTAAGCCTTACCCCTTATTTCATGATGGGGAAAAAAATAACTCATCAGCTGACAATGTTTTTCTTACCAATCTACTGTTTTATACCTAAGGCATACTATAAAATATGTTATATTATAAAGATGCCTGAAAGAGTTTAATGTAAAATTGGGAAGTGCTTGGATCTGATTAGATAATGCAAAAAACAAGCAAATACCAGAGCCAACAATAGAACAAATAAGTGCCTATTCCCTTTCTTATGTTTTTTAAAACATATCATATTCTCTCATGGTCTAAAACAAACTACAGACTCAAAATTTAAGAAATTTTCTTAATTCTGACATTAATTTATTAAAAATGTTTAGACTAGCCTCATATGCAATTTCAGTCACGTGTCAGAACTGCATTTGAATGAGCAATACAAATAAGCTATAACCAACACTGTCAACTTCTAGTTATTTCTAATAACTACAGCTTGTTTCAAGGTCACTCTTATAAAAAGGTCATCTTGTCATATGAGCAAGAAGAGGTTTTTCCTTCTTCTTATTTATTTATCCTAAAAATGACAGAACTGTCTTTAAGAATTCCTTTTTCCCTGCATTGGAATGGAATTGTGGTTCCTGGGGGCTCTCATAGGACAACAGGATAAACACATGCAGCACATTTCTAGACTGCCGGAGCTCAGGAGACCTAATTCACCCAATTATTCAAAAAATGTGCAAATGCTGTGCTGTGCAACACGCTGTAACATGAGTAAGTCAATCAAATTTAAAAGTTTAAAGCTACCTTATTGCTTTTTATAATCAACTGAAAGATGTCTGTTAATGGCTTTCTTGTTCTATAATATTTTTTTTCTGCAAAGTGGATTGCAGAGTTCTTAAGTTCTAGGACAGCATAGCCCTAAAGGTCACAGTGACAATACATTTAATAGTGTCTGATAACCCTCTTCTCCAAATGTTGTAGAGATTGAGTAGCCTTGTTAAAATGCCTTCTATATAGTTTCAGACCAGCTTCTCTATATTTTCCATTCTTCATATTTCCTTAATAAGTATATGCTGATTTTTATCCTGGATTAAACTATAATCAATTTTATTTTTTTAAAAGCAGAGATAATGAAGTTGATAAATCACTTGCAGAGATGACTTCTTAAGTGTAGAAAAGGAGGCCGTTGATATGACTTAATTCAGTGTGTGCTCAGTACAATCTCTTTCTCCTAAAAGAGTACCTTTAGAGAGTATTCATTTGGCAGTTAACAGCTTCATGATTTCCAAATAAAATTCAAGAATCTCTCTGGTAGGTAGGGGCTGTGGACATTTCAACAAAATTACCTAATAGGATAGCTGAGAGTAAATATTTGTGAAAATAGGACAGTAAATAGACAGCAGAGATACATAGGGAAATAAATTGGAGGTAGAACAAGAAGGAAGGAAGAGGCTAAAGACAAATACATATATGCGCATGGTCATACACCACATGTTTATACCATTATTCATTTTCACTGGCATGGCTTACCTGATCAATGTTTGACAACATACATAACACAGATACTATTTTCCCTGGGTACTGTGCATTTTAATCATTCAACATTCAAATGAGGGATGGTATTTACTACCTCCAAAGAAATGATTGCTAGAGACTTTTAGTAGTTGGTTATCTAGGAAAATATAGATTTTTCTAGAGTTTAAAGATTATAGAATTTTGAATTTTTATGTAGCTTTCCAATATTAATAGTTAAATTTACACACTGAGTCAAGGGCTTTAAATAGCATTCTTTAGTAAAAGCTATAAACTAAAAAAGTTTTACCTCTTGTTTCTCTTGATTTTGATCCACATTAAGTAAAGTTGGTATTTTAGATGAATCTGTTTTCTTTGAATCTCTCTTCAGCATTTTTGTCTGTTTAACTTTTACAAAATTATATAAAACAATGAAAATTTGTTATTCCTACCTTGAAATTTTACTTTCCTTTTTAAGAACTTCAACTGGAAATTCTGATGTCTACTAACATCAGTTTCTCAATTCATTACAAAGTAACTGAATAAATCATGAGTTGTAATGGTAAAATACAGTAAATTATTTGTTTTATAACTTTACAAATAGTCTACCAAGTTAAAAGAAAACAATTATTTTATTTTATTTTATTCTCAGTATAACTGTTAAGTGAATCAGATAATTTCTCTTGAGCTATGTATTATATTCTTGCTATTATATTAACTTTTCACAAGGTGTCACTATTCTTCAAAGAAAGATAAGAACATTTATTCAAGACAAAATGAGTTTTGTTTTAAGACAAATCTTAAATTTAAGACTAAGATAAATCTTAAATTTATAAGTCTTATCTACTAAATCCTTGAATGGCCAAAGCATATATAAAATTCCTGCTATTATATGAGAAAATAATCATGGAGAAAAATAGGAATATTATTTATCCCAGGTCATATACTGAATCAAAACTATCTCCCTCAAATATTGTTTTAACATTTCAACAATATTGAACTAATGACAAATCTACCCTTTAGGCCGGGCGCAGTGGCTCACGCCTGTAATCCTAGCACTCTGGGAGGCCGAGGCGGGAGGATTGCTTGAGCTCAGGAGTTTGAGACCAGCCTGAGCAAGAGCAAGATCCCGTCTCTACTAAAAATAGAAAAAATTAGCTGGGCATGGTGGCACATGCCTGTAGTCCCAGCTACCTGGGAGGCTGAGGCAGGAAGATGGCTTGAGCCCAGGATTTTGAGGTTGCTGTGAGCTGGGCTGATGCCACAGCACTCTAGCCTGGTCAAGAGAGTGAAACTCTATCTCAAAAAAAAAAAGAACAACTGGGCTCTTGCAGTCTGTAGCCTGCTGTACCTTTGGACTGACACAGACATGGCCTTTTGCCCACCTCTGCAGATCGCTAGGCTTCACAACCTAAGCTCAAACCAATCTGCTAGAATGTTCTTGGGCTAATGAACCTAATTTCCTTCCTCTCCTAGAATCATAGTAGTCTCCCTAAATTTAGAAGTGGCCCTAATGCCTTGCTAGGCATCTTACAATCTATTGCACTGCCCATGATTAACCAGACCCACAGGACCATTCTCACGGTCTGTATCAAAGGCTAAATCTAAAAATGGCCCAATATGCTGTTTTTCTCCTAAAATATTTGATATTGAAAGGCTATTTGACTATGAACAATTATTTTTGGCTATCCTTTATACACTTAGAGAATTTGCTATGACATAAAAATAAAGCTTACTTTGTTATACCAAGGCACATCCATACTAGAACTTAGATCACGTCACCTTTTTTCTCTTCAAAAGGGAAGATATTTTTCCAAGAGTCTTTTTTTAATGAGGTTTTACCAAAAGACATTAGTGAAAAATTAAACATCTGTATGGCTAAGAAAAGTTAATTTCTTCTATAACATTCATAAGAATCACCCAGTAAATGGCCCATTATGCAATTATAATTTCAATATACCTTCCTCAAGTTCAGTTTTTATATAGACACTATGAATGTGATTCTTTGAAATACCATTATACAGGAACATTGTATTACTTATGTCTCTTGTCTGTTACAGCTCACCTTGTATTGGGGTGAGAGATATTTGAATTGGGATTTGCAGCCATCAAATTACTGCTAGTTAGATTGATGGGTGGCATTGTCATACAGCTTCCAGAATGTAGACCTTCTTTCATGCCATTAGAGTTAGTGCTGGGATTAACAGGGTTTGGTGGTTCAATGATTACAGGTTTTACATCTTGAGACAGAGCATGAGCATTTTCGACTGCATCTTGTTGACAATGTCCACCTTCATACTCTGTCTTTTTCAGTTCTGAGATATCTCCTTTTCCTCCTTTGACTTTAGTAACTCTGACTTTGCTCTCCTTGGGCTTTTTCTCTTTTTCTATTTCCTGGAATAGATACATCCCAAATCTGAGTCATGAGAACAGTTATTTTTTTCATTAGTGTGTAACTGCAATATAGTTATGCTGACTGAAACAAAAAATGAAGTTCTTACCTTTCCCAAAACTGAGCTATGTAGCAGTGTATTGGTACAAATTGTTTTTCTTTCATCTTTCATGAGTTCATTTTCTTTAGAACTCTCTTTTGGCTTTATGAACGAATTGACTTTTGCTTCTTGTAGTAATTTAGCTCTCAGTTCTGGTATAAATCTGACAAAACAAGCAATATCAACCGATAATCTTTTTATTTATGTAGATAGAGTATTTTATCTTTAACGAACCATTTAATCAATTAATTTACATTTCAGATATAGCATAAATAAAGCTGTATAATTCTAATGCATGCCAAAAGCTAGTATAATATTTACCTTATAATAATTGCTTTCTGCTAAAGATACATCTTTCAAAAAATTTGCTATGGGAATCTACTACATAAGACTTTTACAGGTCAGGTTTAGTCCTCACGCCTGTAATCCTAGCATTCTGGGAGGCCAAGGTGAGAGGATCACTTGAGATCAGGAGTTCCAGACCAGCCTGAGCGAGAGCAAGACCCACTTCTCTACAAAAACTAGAAAAAAATTAGCTGGGTGTAGTGAGGTGTACCTGTAGTCCCAGCTACTCAGGAGGCTGAAGCAGGAAGATTGCTTGAGCCCAGGAGTTCAAGGCTGCAGTGAATATGACACACCACTGTACTCTAGCAAGGGCGACAGAGCTAGACCCCGTCAAAAAAAAAAAGACTTTTACAAAATAAACCCAGCCAGGCACAGTGGCTCATGCCTATAATCCCAGCACTCTAGGAGACTAAGGTTGGAGGATCACTTGAGGCCAGGAGTTTGAGACCAACCTCAGCAAAGTGAGACTTAGCACACTTAGGACACTGTAACCATGTAATGAGAGTTAGCTGTAATTATTTTTTATTACTAGACTTTTCATTCACGACACTTGTAAATCTACCATTTACCTAAATGATACCTGATACAGTAACTCAGTAAATTTTTAAGCTGAATATTTCTGTTATACAATATTAATCTATGTGGCAATTCTCTTGCTAATAAAATTTCCTAAAACGAAGTGCTAAAAAACAAAACAAACAAATTAAGAAAACACACTCAAAATGCTTACTTTTCAATAAATCCATCCCTGGTAAAATACTCATGATGTAAAAGATCAGTAGATGATATCCTCTCAGCAGGATCAATTTGTAAACAAGCCTAGAAAAGGAAAAAGATTTTAATGACAAATGAGTTCTTAACACAGCTCCATACGGTAAAAATTAAATTTATTTGACAAATGAAGAAGTAATTAATTATCCACAGCTAAAAGTGTTCTTGAAAAAACTTCCAAACTAGAATTTTAACCCATGTTTTCTGACTCTGAATCCAGTGTTCTTTCTATAGCATAATACAATTTTACAAATATCGAAGTCCTCAAATCTTTTAATATCCTATTATTAGAATAGCTCTTTTCTGTTTGCCTCCTTGAGAGTATTTCAACTGAAGAGAACCACAAAACCACAAAAACCAAAAATAAATAATGGAAAGAAGTTTTGATATTAAGTTGTAGATAATGAAATAACTATAATTATAAATACAGCACATTTCTTTAATCAAGATATTAAAGATAAACTTTAAAAAGCATCAGCTTTACAATTTTTCATTCTTCTCTAAAAGGCACAAACATAATAGTAATAGGTAACTTTTATGCTTACTGTATACTAGACAATGCTCTAGCCTTTTCCTATCATTTCATCCCAACCACAACCTTACAAAGTAGGTATTATTTTTATCCCCACTGTACAGATGAAGAGACCAAGGCCCAGAGAGATTAGGTACTTTGTCTAAGATTTCATAAATAGAGGACCCAGAATTAAAATCTAGAAAATTTCAGGTAATTGTATATAATATTATGCTTCTGTTTATTTCAAAATGCATAGTTTAAATTGATTCATGGAAAAAGTTCTAGAGATCTGCTGTATAACAATGTACATATAGTTAAAAATACTGTAGTATATACTTAAAAATTTGGTAAAAAAGCAGATTTCATGTTTTTTTAACCATTATAAAAAACTTAATTCACAAAGTAAAATTATTTAAGTCAGTTACCTACTTTATGATGTGGGAATACTTTGATCCTTGAAACTGCAACTAACTAAAAATATGACTAAAAATATGTTCAAATGACAACATAATGGTAATCCATTAATAATACTTAATAAGAATGACCGAACCATTCCACTCTCAAGATATTTCCCCAAGAGGAATGAAAATATGCTTTGGAACCTTTTATTAGTATATTTAATTTTCTTAAACTAATAGTCTTGACCATAAGAACACAATCTTATTAATATAAACTTAACTTATAATTAATAATAATCACTATACTCTGACTTAATATAATAAAACTTAATAATACTTATCTGGCCGGCGCGCGGTGGCTCACGCCTGTAATCCTAGCTCTCTGGGAGGCCAAGGCAGGCGAATGCTCGAGGTCAGAAGTTCGAAACCCCTGAGCAAGGCGAGACCTGTCTCTACTATAAATAGAAAATTAATTGACCACTAATATATATAGAAAAAATGAGCCGGGCAGGTGGCATATGCCTGTAGTCCAGCTACTTGGGAGGCTGAGGCAGTAGGATTGCTTGAGCCCGAAGTTTGAGGTTGCTGTGAGCTAGGCTGATGCATGGCACATCACAATCTATGACATAGGCAACAAAAGCGAGACTCTGTCTCAAAAAAAAGTAATAATAATAATAAATAATGCTTTAATAATATAAAACATTAATACCATACTCATATACTTCTCGACTTTGAACAAATGCTTCAGTTCATTTATCTTTTTTTTTTTTTTGAGACAAGTTGCCTTCATTTTCCAACAGGCTAGAGTGAGTGCTGATGGCGTCAGCTCGCGGTCACAGGCAACCTAACTCCTGGCTCAAGCGATCCTACTGCCTCAGCTCCCGAAGGCTGGATACAGGCATGCGCCACCCTATTGCCCGTAATTTTTGTATTATGACTTTTTAGTTAGTCAATTATTTCTTTATATTGTAGAGACGACGGGTCTTGTCAGCTGGTTTTCCGAACTCCCTGACCTTGAGCAACTCGCCCGCCTCGGCTACCCAGAGTGCTAGTGTTGACAGGCGTGAGCCACGCGCAGACCGCCCCTCAATTTTCTTAATATTATTTATTATTTACAAATGATATGCTCTATGGACACTGGAACACCACAGGAAAAAATTACTTGTTTACCCAGCATTTGGAAAACCTTTTATGTTACCTATTTTTGTTCATTTGACAATGAATCATAAAAACCTTTCTTGGGTTAATGATCACTCTTCCACAGTGTAATGTGTAGTATCCTGCTGTATGAATGTAAGGCAATGTACTTAATCAATCATCTACTTTTGGATAGGTTTGTGTCATTTTCAATTTTATTATCATAGATAACATTGTAAAAAATGGGGGGATGATCTACACTGATTATTTTTTCCAAAGAAAGAAAGTTGTGTTTATTTGATCCTTGCTTTTATTTATTTTATTTTATTTTATTTTTTTGAGACAGAGTCTCACTTTTCTGCCAGGCTAGAGTTGAGTGCCGTGGCGTCAGCCTAGCTCACAGGCAACCTCAACTCCTGGGCTCAGCGATCCTACTGCCTCACGCCTTCCCGAGTAGCTGGGACTACAGGCATGCGGCTACACCCGCCCGGCTAATTTTTGTATATATATTTAGTTGGTGAATTAATTTATCTTTTTGTAGAGACGGGGTCTCGCTCAGCGCTGGTTTTGAACTCCTGACCTTGAGCAATCCGCCCGCCTCGCCTCAAATGGCTAGGATCTACCAGGCGTGAGCCAACGCCCGGCTGATCCTTGCTTTTAATCCATAAAGATACTAAAATATTTTTGAAGTGAAAACCCAGAATTCTTGTGACTTTTAAGGTGAAAATCTTAAGTTACTCTGCCAATTAATATATTAAATACACAAATTAAGATATGGAAAATTGATTATATTGTGAAACCTAGAAAATGATGGCCTACTTCATCTTAGGAAGAAACAAAAGAAACTACAAGCACAACGTTAAAGGTTTCAGCCCCAAAGACAGTGAAAAGGGAAAGGGAAGCAATGTTAAAAGAGCCATATGTTAATGACTAGCTTCTTGCCTTACTTGAGTGGGAGCTGTATCCTCTTGCTTGCTATTATACATAATTTGTCCGATGGATTGTGAATACGTCTCTTCTTTGCTCTTCAGTTACCACCTATTATTTAAAAAACAAATAAGAAGTTATTGAACCTTTCCAGAAATGCCTTTGCTTTAGCTCTCAAAATGAACAAATTATACCATGGATGTCTATTGTTCAAACCATGAATGCCAAGATGGAATTGTCAGTCCTCTAAGTACAATTGCTCTAGGAGAGAGGTATAACTAATAGAGCAGAAAAACAATAATGCATGGCTACACTCAGTGTGATACCCATCTTGTGGGGTTACTCCTCGACTGGTCTCGTGCTCCCTCTTTATCTGTTCTGAAACTTGGATCTCCTAACTATTTGAGTTTTCTCAATTTATGAGCTTGCTATCCAAGGCTGACTGACTCACAACATGCTTACTGGTACCATGGTTTGGGTACACTAAAGAACAACTGGCTCGGCCGGCGCGGTGGCTCACGCCTGTAATCCTAGTTCTCTGGGAGCGCGAGGCAGGCGGATTGTTTGAGCTCAGGAGTTCGAAACCAACCTGAGCAAGTCAAGACCCGTCTCTACTATAAATAGAAAGAAATTAATTGCCACTAATATATATAGAAAAAATAGCTGGGCACTGTGGCGCATGCCTGTAGTTCAGCTACTCAGGAGGCTGAGGCAGCAGGATTGCTTGAGCCCAGGAGTTTGAGGTTGCTGTGAGCTAGGCTGACGCCACAGCACTCACTCTAGCCTGGACAACAAAGTGAGACCCCGTCTCGAAAAAAAAAGAACAACTGGGCTCTTGCAGTCTGTAGCCTGCTGTACCTTTGGACTGACACAGACATGGCCTTTTGCCACCTCTGCAGACCGCTAGGCTTCACAACCTAAGCTCAAACAATCTGCTAGAATGTCTTGGGCTAATGAACTAATTTCCCTTCCTCTCCTAGAATCATAGTAGTCTCCCTAAATTTAGAAGTGGCCCTAATGCCTTGCTAGGCATCTTACAATCTATTGCACTGCCCATGATTAACCAGACCCACAGGACTTCTCACGGTCTGTATCAAAGGCTAAATCTTAAAAATGGCCCAATATGCTGTTTTTCTCCTAAAATATTTGATATTGAAAGGCTATTTGACTATGAACAATTATTTTTGGCTATCCTTTATACACTTAGAGAATTTGCTGATGACATAAAAATAAGTTACTTTGTTATACCAAGGCACATCCATACTAGAACTTAGATACACGTCACCTTTTTTCTCTTCAAAAGGAAGATATTTTTCCAAGAGTCTTTTTTTAATGAGGTTTTACCAAGACATTAGTGAAAAATTCAAACATCTGTATGGCTAAGAAAAGTTAATTTCTTCTATAACATTCATAAGAATCACCCAGTAAATGGCCCATTATGCAATTATATTCAATATACCTTCTCAAGTTCAGTTTTTTATAGACACTATGAATGTGAATCTTTGAATACCATTATACAGGAACATTGTATTACTTAATGTCTCTTGTCTGTTACAGCTCACCTTGATTGGGGTGAGAGTATTTCGAATTGGGATTTGCAGCCATCAACATTACTGCTAGTTAGATTGATGGGTGCATTGTCATACAGCTTCCAGATGTAGACCTTCTTCATGCCATTAGAGTTAGTGCTGGGATTAACAGGTTGTTTGGATCTGATTAGATAATGCAAAAAACAAGCAAATACCAGAGCCAACAATAGAACAAATAAGTGCCTATTCCCTTTCATGATATAAATGATATCATCTGGAGATTAGTAAAGCTATGCAAACAACGTATACCTTCCATTCCTTTTATATCCTTTGATTGTACTGTGAAAGGCAATTCTGGAAAATGGAATTCTTTCCTGTCAGATCTGGAAAAATTCAGCTTCCTTTTGTTCCCACTTGCCATTTGGTCACTTTGACCTGTTCGCTCATTAAATATACCCCTCTCCATTTGGCTCTAAACAAACAACAAACAAACAAGAGTTCATTTGAAGAAATGTGTGTAACTATTTGTAGAATGACAAACCTAGAATTGCCAGCCATTTGGATGGCATAAGATAGGCATAACAACTATTTTAATACTTAAGAAGTACAATGGAATACCATTAAACATACCAACAGATCAAACTCCAATAAAAGTTTCAGAAAGCAAACCTTTAAGGAGAGATACCAACCTCAGCAAAGTGAGACTTAGCACACTTAGGACACTGTAACCATGTAATGAGAGTTAGCTGTAATTATTTTTTATTACTAGACTTTTCATTCACGACACTTGTAAATCTACCATTTACCTAAATGATACCTGATACAGTAACTCAGTAAATTTTAAGCTGAATATTTCTGTTATACAATATTAATCTATGTGGCAATTCTCTTGCTAATAAAATTTCCTAAAACGAAGTGCTAAAAACAAAACAAACAAATTAAGAAACACACTCAAATGCTTACTTTTCAATAAATCCATCCCTGGTAAAATACTCATGATGTAAAAGATCAGTAGATGATATCCTCTCAGCAGGATCAATTTGTAAACAAGCCTAGAAAAGGAAAAAGATTTTAATGACAAATGAGTTCTTAACACAGCTCCATACGGTAAAAATAAATTTATTTGACAAATGAAGAAGTAATTAATTATCCACAGCTAAAAGTGTTCTTGAAAAAACTTCCAAACTAGAATTTTAACCCATGTTTTCTGACTCTGAATCCAGTGTTCTTTCTAAGCATAATCATAATTTACAAATATCGAAGTCCTCAAATCTTTTAATATCTATTATTAGAATAGCTCTTTTCTGTTTGCCTCCTTGAGAGTATTTCAACTGAAGAGAACCACAAAACCACAAAAAAAATAAATAATGGAAAGAAGTTTTGATATTAAGTTGTAGATAATGAAATAACTATAATTATAAATACAGCACATTCTTTAATCAAGATATTAAAGATAACTTTAAAAAGCATCAGCTTTACAATTTTTCATTCTTCTCTAAAAGGCACAAACATAATAGTAATAGGTAACTTTTATGCTTACTGTATACTAGACACATGCTCTAGCCTTTTCCTATCATTTCATCCCAACCACAACCTTACAAAGTAGGTATATTTTATCCCCACTTACAGATGAAGAGACCAAGGCCCAGAGAGATTAGGTACTTTGTCTAAGATTCATAAATAGAGGACCCAGAATTAAAATCTAGAAATTTCAGGTAATTGTATATAATATTATGCTTCTGTTTATTTCAAAATGCATAGTTTAAATTGATTCATGGAAAAAGTTCTAGAGATCTGCTGTATAACAATGTACATATAGTTAAAAATACTGTAGTATATACTTAAAATTTGGTAAAAAAGCAGATTTCATGTTTTTTTAACCATTATAAAAAACTTAATTCACAAAGTAAATTATTTAAGTCAGTTACCTACTTTATGATGTGGGAATACTTTGATCCTTGAAACTGCAACTAACTAAAAATATGACTAAAAATAGTTCAAATGACAACATAATGGTAATCCATTAATAAAACTTAATAAGAATGACCGAACCATTCCACTCTCAAGAATTTCCCCAAGAGGAATGAAATATAAA